AAAAAACTTGAAAATTTAATACAAGGTTCCTTATGAGTGGTTCTTAGTGTAGTAAAAAAAATCAAAATTCGTTAGTCACATTTTTTTTTTTATAAGCGTTACCTAATAGTTAAAATTTTTACGAAATATGTCAAAATCGCCAAAATTTGCAAGTAATTTTGAAGTTGAATAATCATAAAATTTGTTGTGTTTACATGTAAGGATAAAAAATTCAACACTAAGTTTTCCATAAGTTTTTCTTCAAGTAGCTATAGAGAAAACTTGAAGCGTCGTTATAGGAAAAATGTTATGAGCGTTCGAATTTTAAATTTTTACGAAATCGCGTAACGATAACGATTTGTCCTTTAACAAGTCAAACGAATTTAAATATTTGTTATAATTCAAAAAGTATAAGCTATAGGTACTTGAAAATTTAACCAATTAATTAGATTGGCATTTTCTTTACATGATTTAATTTTCAAAATATTTCGCTTATTTTAATGCTATTGATAGGCATTTTAAATATTCATTTGTTTATTTTTTTTTTTATATAAATATCGATAAAAAAAATGTTAGCTGACAGTATAGTAATATAGCATATCCTAGTACCTAGGCTGACAAATCATCTCCGTTCAGAATCGTTTTTCGTATGCAATGATACCTATCATTACATTCAAATTTAACACTTCTATAATATATAATAGTAATCCATACGGCACCTAATGTACAGCAGAGCGATACCCACTTACCCGCTTTTTTCAAAATTTGAATTTGTTTTATAATTTATATACAAGATTTGTTACAAATTGTTCTATCCATATAACAAATTGTCGGAAGATCGCTTTAGTTTTTAAATATTGTGTTATTCAAAACATTTTTAACATAGGTTTTGTTCGAAAATCAAATATACTTAATATTTAAATATTTAAATACCAGTTACTTACTTTTCACTAATATAGCCAGATGGACCTGGTATACTATTATAGACTTGGTGAACTTCAATATTTGTATCGACATAATTTTTTTTTGGCGTTGTATTATCTGGACTAGTTGCTACGTTCTAAAAGAATAACTTATATATATTTTTTAATAAATCACTCAAATCTCCATTAAAGTTCCATCCCGTCAATCCCGTTCAAAGGACTTCTTCTATGTCCCACACGCCACCACCAACTATATGGCTAATAAGCCTTTAAGACGCCTAATGACGTCTGCCAATGCAGAGCCTTCCTTTGACGATTTGCTAAATTTGTAAAATATTTTTATTTTTTATTTCTTATATTTTTCTTTTCTTTTTTTTTCTTCAACATATTAAGCTATTATTGTCATCTGATATACATATTATATATTAATGTAAATTGTTTAGATCTAAGTTGCTTTATCTAATTGTAAAATGTCTAATGTAAAATACATATTGTAATGTAAAAGGGCCAAAGCCCGTATAACCAATAAAATAAAATAAAATAAAATCCTTATAGGTAATAATATATGATCATTAATGAATTAAAAAAATTGAAAACATGTATAGTATACACTATACATATAAAAATCGTATCTTACTTGTTGGTAGTTGTCTGGAACAACGGTTACACATTTTTTTGAGTTCAAGTTCGCTAAATTATGTTTTGGTTTCTTCTTTGGAACAAATAATTTCCGGCGAGATTTTTGACCATAACGCCAATCTTTACCCATTTTTGTAAAAATATTACAGAGAACGATTGAAGAAATGAAGACTGAAGATTGAATGAATGAACACCGAAATACAAAATTAATAATTGAATAAGCGACGACTTTCGGAGTTAGTATTATTTCCGAGAACATTACTATATCTGTACCTTATAGATCATTAGGCTAATGACCATGATATTAGATCGTCTCACTCAAGCACGCGCATGCACAGGTCACCAAATTAAGTTTTTGACAATTTTCCGTTTTTAAAATCAGTACAAACTAACTATAAGAGAAAGATTTTTTTAGTTACTTACTATGATCCGATTTACATTTCGAAAATAGATCTGTATTCGGTAACTTTTTTACTAGGTTATGTAGGAAAAATAATTGATGTTTTTAAACTGAATGTATGTATATAAAATAAAAATACTTTTATACTTTTTGGAAAAGTTAACATATTTTTTAAGCCTTATTGAATACAAAAATCAAAAATCTGTTTCCTACATAACCTAGAAAAGAGGATGATAAATTCATACGTATTTTTAAAACAATAATCGGACATCAGGAAGTACATAAACTAATCTTCCGCTTATTGGTCTAAAGCTTCGAAAAATACGGAGTGCTCCAATCCCCTTAATTTTTTTTAATTGATATGAAATAATCATAATGTAGTTCAAAATTATATTACAAAATAAATAATAAAAAATATATTTTTTTTAAAAAATAATTAGCGGCCAAGCCTAATAGTATTAATTTTCTGGCGTACGTCGTATAATATAATATTCTACCCGCGTCTTATGGCCATAAAATAATAATAATAATAACAATTATATCATCGGCTCGTATCGGTTCACACGTTTCACGTCGTTTATATCGTTATATACCGGTAACACGCTCATAATATAAATGCTACGAGTGTATTACATAATTTGACTAGTATATATTTATTATATTATAATTTATAATTTATAATAATAAGTTATCAGCGAGGCACTGGCGTAAAATGAAGACGCGCAGAAAAAAGAAGGCATCGAGAAGACTCTAATAAGTCATGGTATTTTAAGCGAAATCGTTCCAAATATGTTATACGTATACCATACATAGGTACCACATAATTACAATAACATAATTGTCACATTATGTAAAAAAATATCGTCTCTAGGTTGGATATACTAGTATTTCACATAGGTACTTTATGTAATTATTATACAACATGTCTTGTGCCGCTGAACATACAAAAAACAGACTTGAGCACCGAGCCTAAATTTATGATCAAAATCGGACGAATTAATCCAGTTAAAAGTTAAAATTTAACAAAGAAAAATTGAACTCGATAAGCTTAGAGTTAAAATTTAATTTTTTTTTCAAGCTACCAGTCATAAAGTCCAATATTATTTTGATTTACACAAACAATTACTAAGATGTTTATAACTATGTAAAAACATCAGATTATTATGATGATTTTTATTATATCATAGGTGTATTATTAAAAAAAAGACCAAAATCGAAAAATAAATCAACGAATCTGTATATATTGTCTATTGGTCTAGCATGATACGAAAATAAAATAAACATAACTACACGATAATGATAATTAACTTTAAAAAGTTAAGGTATAACCATAGACATATGAGCGGCGACATTTCAAAACGTACTATTTCCAAAGTTGAAGAAATTGAGTTATATATTGATTCTTATGGAAAAAAGGCGGGAAATCGAATGGAGTGGTCAAATTGAACCAAAACGTACTATTTCTCTTGTTAAATTGAAGTTGTTAATCTATTATTGCGCAGGCACAACGAACTATTTCCATGTCAAATATTAGGTCAAAACGAACTAATTCCATATCACTTCAAAACGTACTATGTTCTATGTTATAAAGATAGGAAACGAAATTGAAGTAAACACAAAACGTACTATTTCCAGTTGTTTGAGAATACAAAAAATATTTTTTGTAGATTTTTTATAATTAATTCATTTATATAAATTAATTGTGAAAATTAATTTGAATGGTTTATTTATTTATTTCTACATCTAAAAACATTATCATCAATCATCATACACTGGTCATTGTGATTATTGATAGTAAATTATGTGTTAATTCTAAATTCCCAAACAGCAATTGTAAGTTATAATTTATAACACGTTTTGATGAGAATTTTATCCATCCTTTATTCGTTTAACATATGGTCATTGGGAAATAACACATTTCGGGAAAAACATACAGCAATGATACGTTTTGAATATAAAATTTAGTTGAACAAAAGCTACTACAACATAGGCAATAGTACATTTTGTTTAGTTCTACCATGGCAATAATAGAATTACATTTTAGAAAATTATTGTTTTCAAACCCTTATTATACCTATATACAATGTTATAGATAAGGAAGGATTTTTTTTTTAGTTTCTTGACATTATTTTTGTATGAAAAGATGTCCAACTCAATGTTGATATAATAGCACGTTTTGGATTGTAACCACACAACTCGGGACCCGAATCAGATTACCGCTTCGATTGTGCGTCTGACGCGGTCGATCTGTTCTTATAGGTATGAAAATAAACATGAATGCTCTGTCAAAAAAGTTTTATTTCTTACATCATACCTATAGTATTTCAGTCAACTATTTAAGACTAATAAAGAGAGTATTCTTTGTCCACAAGCTTATCATCACCCTTAGTAACTGTGAGTCAGTGACTTTGATTTATAATTTTAATAAAGTACATCCATTAGTAGTGTACTTAAAGAAGCGGTAATGTTGGGGTTGGGGGATAGACCCGGACAGCACTTTTTTGAAGGCAGAACAATATAAAAAAAAAAATGAGAAAAATATTCAATATAAAAAAAACGGTTTGCGGAGAAGAGAGCCTAATTAAAATTAATACCCATGGTAGCAAAATCCTGAATACGCCATCGCCACTAACATCAATAAGTGAGTGAATTGATTGCATCGTAATTCGTAGCATCAGTGCATCAAATATTCTTGGCGAAATCAAGCTATCATGCATTTTATTACATTTTATAAACACTTTATTTACTTAAGTAGTAAAATATAAAAAAAAATTAATAAATATGGTGTTCACTGATAAGTGTGGAATAACATAATTCACTTGTTGTATTGTTTTAGCTGTTACTAAACATTATTTATTTTGGGCTGAGGAAGTGTGGCTAGAATAGTAATAATAGGTACATCGCTTACAAAAGAAGACAATCAGTACCATTTTATTTCATTTATTATTGAACGTTCACATTAATTTCTATTATTTTCATCTATTAAAACAAAATGATTTTTTTAAAGCAATATTTAATAACGCTTACAATCATAGTAATTTCAAATTTGGTTATGGCTACACCCACTAATCAAATAGATTATAACAACTTAAAGGGTAAGGATGAATGTATTTTACAATAATTATATTTGCATTTTTATTTTTATTTTTTGTCGAAATCTAGCTCAACAAATGATAATTGTCATTTTATGATAATCTAGAGACAAACAGAACATATAACATTAATTACTTTACAGTTTATCACGATATGATATACCTATAGTTGTTATAAATGTTATACACTTATACCTAGATATGTCTTCAAAAGTATAGGTATTGTATATAATTTTGGCCTTAGGATAAAATATGTTGACATTACATTTCCATAAACTTGTTCTAGTATATCTCCGCTGAAGTACAGTAATATGTTAACTCATAACATTTCCTTGCTTTATTGAAATTTAAGATTTGTTTAGTCAAGCAAGAATCAATTAGTAATATCAGCAATAACCTAATTCAATTTTTTTCATTGTTTTAGAACTTAATTATTATAGATAGTTGTTGTAAATAGATAACATTGACTAATAAAAATTATTTTTTTCCAGAACTCTGTAAACGTAAGAAATATTTTTAATAAGTAATCTAAATAGTCACTTTCAATAGTTATGCTTTATGTTCTACACAATTTTATACTCAAACAAAAAAATATTACTACTAAGAATAATGTAACTAATCAGATGTTTATCTTGTAACTTAATCAATTTTTTTTATTTTAAAATTGTATAGTGTTGACAAATAAATGTGTCGAAATTGATGGTAAAGTTATTGTAATTAACAAATAATTCATTTTATTACATATTTTTTATTCTTACCCTGCAGTAAACTTCTAAATTCACTGAAACAAAAAAAAAACAATGAATCTTCATATCTCAGTTTATTTTAATTTTTAATTTTTAATATGATACTTTAGAGGGTCTTTTCTCCAGCTCTCTAAGCTCATTAACCTCACTATAGCACTTTTGTAATTTGTATCATGTTTAATAGTTTCGATTATATTTTGAAGTATATTATAAGTTACGAAACAGTGTACCTAACATATACAAGCCTACAAACATTTTGAGTTTTTGGTTTTTAGCATTTTAAGATATGAATAAATATGTATTATACGTGATATTAGGTTTGATTTATGACCTGGCCAACCACCTAACCATCATTAAGTATGTACGACAGACTCGACAGAGCTCCCAGTGTTAATCTGTCTTCCCAATAACCTATTGATAACGTATTGTGATTTGTACGTCGACAGTAGTCGCCTCCTTACAATCCTTACAATTATTATAAGTTGATAGAATCACTATTTAGGGCCGAAATAGACAATCAGATATTCCGGCCGGTCACCTTGTTCCTCCAAGCACGATAAGCACGCTGGAGACGACGAACCGAGCGAACCGCGAACTGACCGGGCGGCGAAAAACTTCACCGTCTGTTTACCACAATCTAACTCTATAGAATGTATTGATAATATATATAGTATAAATTATAAAAAAAAAACAGGACGGTAAAAATATCTATTATAACAATTGTAGAGGACAATTTCATTTAAAATCGTAGGAACTTGATATTTTTATTAATTTGTTATTTAATTCATTGATAAAAAGTAAAAAACAACTTGTAAATTTAAAATCCAATTTTGGGCGATTAGAATACGATATCGCAAATCAGGAGAAAAATTCCCCTGTACAATTATTATGATAGGTTATTTTTCATTAAACTGCTTTAATCAGTAGAATTACTTGAAGTGAGTACCAAGGTTTTCATGAAATATGTTGTTCACTAGTACGACCTTTCAAAAACTCTTAACAATTTTTATTCATGGTATTTTTCTGTAAGGCTGGAAAAATATGATGTTTGAATAAAAAATAATGATTTTA